GGGACAGAATTGTTCACCGTTACCCAGGCGTATTCACTTCTCATCTTCCCTTAGAACCTGAGCCCCGTAATATCCATTTACCTTATTTTTTCTTTCTGTATCTAGTCTTTTCTATGAATACTGATACTGCTATTGCTTCTACTACTCTAGAATCTTTCATGATAATTCTATGCTACTGTACTAATGTGGCAGGACAACTTGAATCGATGCACATGTGTCAGATTCTACAATGTACATGACTGATTAACTATTTATCAACTGATATGACCGACTTCATAGTACTACTAATTTGCGATGAACATAAAGAATATCAAAAGCTATCACCTAGTTTATGACCACAAAGAAATTAAATTTACAGTTGTGGGAATTTTACAGAACGTTGAATATCAGTTCCATTTTAGTAAAAATCTCCACAACACGTATTCACTACTCAAACATGAATCAAACGCAAGACCTTGAGGTCTTTCACTGAATATTTGATGATTCGAATCACTAGGTCAACAGAAAACCCTGAACTTAGTTTACGTACTAGTTGTTATATTTTCAATAAGATGTATTTGTTAATTCGAATTAACTGTTACTGTTTCTCATAGGATTCAAATGACTCAATAGTAACATATGATTTGACTGTGACAAACGAAATGTTTATCTAATTAAACTAGATTGACATTATCCTCAACTGAATCAATTTAATTTCAATCTTCACTAAAACCTAAATAAATATGATATTTGATTGCCGTTGACTGATCAATGAGTGTTAGAACAAATCATTCATGTAATCCTAGAAGCATGAAATAAAATTTCAAATATTGGAGAATTGTATCTTATCATGCAATACTTCATAGTAGTCATGTCAAATTACCCTCACATTTCATTATCACACTATATAACAATGTCATGCATTAAACTGGAAATATTTTCTGGAGAACATTTCTGTTGCCACTTTGTCCTAATGTACAAGTAATATGTTGTCTCAGTCAGCTACAACGTAGGACCAGGCACTTATATGCATCGGTACAAATAGTCACACCTCATTAGCACAGCAAGATGAACACCGGATTCATAGAAGTAAATTCAGTGGTGGCAATATATAGAAGAAAGATTGCATATAAAAGTATAGCACAGGAAGAAAGAATTAGTTCGTAAAAAGTAAGATATGAAGCGATTTTAATTTCTTAGTTTAAGGGAAGACAGAGAGTGTATACACCGACGCTATTGTGATCGATTCTGAACCATTTCACCATGAGTCTCCAACCATTGGTTACGATAGTCATGCAGATCCAAACCAAGTAGTCTACATCTGTCGATACGGCTTAGACTAGAAGTTAGTGAATCCAAGCACTGATGCCACGCTTTGGTTTGTCTGTCCCTAACTTTCTTCCAACCGTCTCCAACACTGAATTGTAAGAAGTAAAGATCATTGATTAACTTGTGAAAAATTTTTTGCAATACCTTAATATAGCTACTCGTTTGTGTAGAGCAATAATTTAATGTTGAACGCATTCGACATTCTACAATTAGTTGGATGTTTCATTCTTTAAATTCTAATCAAACAACAAAGATCTTTCATTGAACCCCGAAACCAATAAAAGTTCTGCTTAATATGAGCACCTAAATTTCTATTTAATTAAATGATTTACCGTAGAACATTAAACTGTACCAAATGAGTTGCATATATCAGATAGAATTCCAATCACTGAATATTTATGATGATGAATAGATCCTTCAATGGTTAAGGCATTCAACTTTCTAGATTTAATTCTCAAGTCTAAAACCCATTCTTCACCTATCTAAATTTGATAAATGCTACTAGCTCTCACATTCAAAACCAAATTCATAAAAAATTTGTTTATCATATTAATTAAGTTATAATTTAGTGTTGTAAATGGTTTAAAATGGACATAATCGTTATCAATTGCTTTATATTTTTCAATTATAATTAAATTGAAATTAATCCATGATGTATTAATGATAAATTTTTAGTTTCTATTTGTACATTATACTAATTACCTTCATCCTTTAAATTAAACTAATTCAATATCACATGGTTTGTTTCATTGTTTTTCTTATTAACAAAAAGTATTTTTCCATTATTTATGAAATAATAAATAAAAACTATTTCTCAAGGTCATATTGAGGTTACTCTTAGCATGAAAATTAATAAATACTCACATCAGTCAATATTGTTCTGTAGTTAAGTTTTTTTTTTTAAAAAAAAATTCTATTTAAAACTATCAGTCAACATATTAGATTCTCTTTTCCTTATGACTGACAAATAGAAAGCTTCTAACGTTGAGCTTCTATATTTGAGGGAAGTTCAAAGCAATAGTCGCAATCAGTTAATCGTTGAATAAAAGGACTGACTACTCAGAATCATTCACAATGGTTCTCAGTTGCATTCATTCTTTATCATTCTCAATATCTGGAGTTTCAATATTCTTTCATACAATACATGTTCATTATACCTTATCGAACCATATTCATTATTTTATCTCTGTCACTATCATAAATACTGCAGTTATTTTGACTTGGTTGCTAATGGGAGCTGATAAATTGCGTTACCACACATATCACACTCTATTTTACTTGTCATTGATTAATTGATTGATTTCTCCGCTGTTAATATATATGTTTGTGCATAAAGAATACATAATTTACAAATATAAGTTTCAAATTACGTTAGGTTAAAATACATATTTTTTATTCATTTGTAATTAGTGTGATTTAAAGTCTTTGGATTAAACGTCAAATTACCAGATTCATCTATTGAACCTCGGTTGTCAAACTGTCGAACTGAGGCATCTTTTGTTGTGCAGATAGCTCTGTTTCAATCCACAAGATGTCTATACTCGCTAGTGAGAGATTTTAGGTGATATAATTTTAAAGTTAGTTGCCGTTGGTACACATATTACTCTGTTATTAAAGACAAATTCTAAAGGATATGAAATCTGTTAATGAGGTTGCGCGTCTTCGTCGACTGAAGCGGTTGGGCCATGTGTTACATTCGCTAACATGGAAACAGTCAATCCATAAAGTCGTTGACTGTTGATTTAACTCATGTTGATAAGTGCAGACTAGATAGATTGGTTTGAGGCATTGCACGATATAGTTTGAAGTCGATCATATGAGCTCAGCTTAGTTTACCTTTTGTTTCCTCTTTGATTTTCATTTTTGGGAATTCTCCCCTTTTTTGGTCCCGCGTATTCGTCTTGTCTACCACCAATGATACTATTCTTACAACAACTGCCCAATTGGTATTGATGTGATAACCTCTTCTGGGTGTGATGATGTAGTAGCTTGAGTTGATGTACATGTATGTCAGTTTTTAGGTTGTTTATGGGCTCTAATCATAATAATAACTGTTGTTATATAAACTATCTGTTTTCCTAATAGTCAATTTGTTTTATTTATTTGAGCAGATGTTTGTAATTAATATGTCCCATACTAGGACGAAACGGTCATCCAGTGCTTTCAGGTCTTCCGTAGTGGTCTAGCTTAAATGTAATCATGAATTCAACTATTAATAAATATATATTTATTATTATACGATGTGATTTATTGAAACTGTTTTTTTATCTTCCTCTTAAAACTTATACAGGTACTAGTCCTTCATTTACTCAGAGACGTGCTTGACAGAACTCAAATCTTAATATTTTTCAGCTGTATACAATATTATCTTGTTGATATGAACCATTTGTTTTATCTCATGTAACTTGATAACAGTTACCGAAAAAAAAACTTATGAAAACTTTTATGTAAAATTTCTTGCATTTTGTAATCTGTTGATATTGTTTAATGTTAAATATCAATAAATCTGTTTGTTTTCTGATGATAGCTTTGATTTTTCTCTCTATTTATGTATTTAATTCGATGTATGCACTTTTAAAAAAAAGAAAAGAACGTATCGTTTGTTCGTGGTTGTGAAGCTTGAATTCACTTTGAGATCGTAAATCCAACTGAGTTAGGCACCCATAAAAAATCTGGTAGCACTGGATAGTTGTTTCGTTCTAGAATGGTGCTCCTCAGTAATGCATATCCATGCCTCTATCACCGAGGACTTTCGGTCTCACACATGAGTGCTTAACCTCTAGATCGCATCTAATGGTTAATCATTCATGCATGAGACAGGAGATTCTGAGTTCAATCATTGGTGGTGGGGGTCGTGGATCCGCATTGTTGAGGAGCTCCGTGCTAAGACGAAGCAATTGTCTTGTGGTATCGCGTTTTCGATGGTTGTCTAATTGTGGTTGACTTGTGGTCCCAATAATATTCAGTATTTTTCTCTAACGCGCCATGTAGAACTATTTTTGTTAAAAATAATAACCACTGGGGCCTAGGGTAATAACCACCAAGCCAGGGTACATGCAGTCCAGCACGAAGCCAGATGCATGCATTATTATATATTTTTGGGTTATGATTTTAATTTTCCTCTTTCTGTAAATCAAAAGAGTTTAGGTAACATATTGTTCACATAAACAGTCACAGTAGTTCAGCTGCATTTATTTATGATTTTTCTGTAAATCATAAACGCGACAGTTCGTTCTGTTCCACCCATCAGTTCTTTTTTCCCTATTTTATGTATTTTTTGAGTTCTCTTAGATTGATCGATCAAATTATGCTACATGGCGAACAGCCAGCTGTCATACACACTAAAATGCACCTCTGAGCGCATTTAAATACTTTAGTTTGACCAACTATGTATCATCTATCAAACAAACACACCACATATAGTTTATGGATAAATACATGAAACTTATTTTATTGACTTGAATATACATTTTATATTAAATTTTGATCTCCGTTTACAAAACATTAGGTGTATTCTCATCCTTGTTTCACTTTTTTCAACTTTGTACAAGGCAACCTCTCCAGTAGCAAAAGCTCCACATAGTGGTGCAATTAAAAAACACAATCAGAACACCAGTAATAAACATGATAGCTTTCGGTCAAAAACTGTTGTCGGTGCTCCTCCATTAGACTTACAGTTATTACGTCGACATATGTCTATCTCTCAGTCGCCTGTTGGAACACCAGTTACATTTTATTCAAAGGCGAAAATCTATTGGAGTCAAGTTCCAGCTACAGTTGACGGAATGTTATCAGGTTATACCTCGTTAAATGTCCCGGATATTGCAGATTCTGAGGTATTTCTTGATGAATTCGGACCATCTACTACAGCATACGCATTAGATTGTGGTGCCGGTATTGGACGTGTTACTAAACAATTATTATTACCACGTTTCTCTATTGTCGATATGGTTGAATTGACACAATCATTTCTTAATCAAGCAGAAGAATATATTGGACCCGAAGATTTTCCTAGAGTTGGTGAACGCTTCTGTATTGGTTTACAAGTAAGTATTTTACAATTTTTCATTAAAACAATGTGTATGGGGACATGGAAATGTGTAAATTGTTTCACATTTTATCAGAATAGGTTTTTAAATTCAAGGTATTTAACATCAAGAGATAAATATATCGTCGACCTTTGCATGGGTAATTTTTGTGTTAGTTCCGTACTTGTTGAGACCTTACCGCCGGAGACGGATATCCGTGGGATAAGGTGTGCATTTTTAGGGTAGACCTTTTCTAACCCCACCCCTCATTGTGGGAAGGCAGCATGTCTGTCATGCTGGTTGTCTGAGGGAAACACCTTACTGCCATCAGACCTCTGTACAGTCAGCAGTACGACTTCGCCTTCAGACCTTGGGTTTGTTGCTTTTAGTCTTACTGCTCTTCAACCGACCTGTCTGACATGGTAGAACCTTGAGGAACTATTGTTCCAGCCAGTATAGCTCGGTTGTTTCATCACGATAGGCAAGCCCGACCACCACGTCAAGGCAGCAACAACGGTCGGGCTCATTGACTACAATAATTAACTGTCCGATAATTTCCTCACTAAACTCTGTGTATATATATATGTGTAATTTTATTGCAATTGCATCCATGAATTTGTGAAAATTCTATCATTTTTTTCGAAATTCCAGGACTTTACTCCACCAACTGGTCGTTATGATCTAATTTGGATTCAGTGGGTATTAGGCCATTTATCAGATTTAGCTTTGCTAGCCTTTTTAAAACGTTGTGCTCATGGACTTTCTCCAGGCGGTATCATTGTAATTAAAGAAAATATCACTTCACCTGGTGGACACGATGAAAAATCAATCATGAATTCAGAAGAAATCGATTTCGATGAGATCGATAGTAGCTATACAAGATCACGATCAACTTATATAAGAGCTTTTATGGATACTGGTTTAACATTAATTGGTGAACGTGCTCAAACAAATTTCCCGTCATCATTTTATCCAGTAAGAATGTTTGCATTATCATATAACGGTGATCCGAAAGCATCTCCTACAAAATCTTTGCCTAAACCACTACCAACTGTAAGTGCTTAATTTCTTGTTTTTCTCTGTTTTTTTTTATAAAAAATATTGTCTCACTACTATCGTTACTGATGTATATGTGTCTGCCTGTGTACATTCGATTCTTTTCTGTAAAATTTACATTTACTCTTATCTTTACCCCCTTGCTCTCTTTCTCTTCTTTTTGATTACTACCTTCTGGCGTTTCCTTGTTTAAATTAAAAATATATTATCTATTTGGTCAAGTATATCCTTCATGTTACAAGTACAACAAGAGTGTGTACTACTCTGTGGATGTAAAAAACAATATTATTTTTCTATTTTTATAATAATTATCTCTTCAAATAAAATTCATTTGGATTTGTGCGCACACAAACACACATACCTACACTCTTTGTGTATATGTATAATTGGAATATGAATAGTCCTATTTTCTTTTGTTCTACTGCTGTTCTACTGGGTTTTTTTGTTGTTGGGTACTCATCCATGTATTTCACTTGTCACTATTTGAGATGAAGTGGTCTTGTTTCTAAAGAAAATTTTTTTTTTACTATTGAAAATTGAAATTCCCTTGAGATTATTTTTTTGTTGAAAATTAACTTATATACATGTATACTACATTTTTACTATGAAGTAATCATTGGTTTCACTTATTACATACAACGAAATTCATATAAGATTTGTTAACTGTTTAATAACAGACTTTGATTTTCACTCAGCATCTTGTTATTATATTACCATTGGGGTATATCATCGTTGGGTATATATGATGTTCTCTGTGTAATTAATTGTGATGTATGTCAGCAGTACTATTTCACTTTTGGACCTTGGGTTTGTTGCTTTTAGGTTTTTAGTCGATTAATAGAAGTGTAAAGTAATGAATTATTCATGTCTGAAAAGAAACATAATTTTGGTGAGACTATAATTTATGAATGAACCAATCAGGTATAAGATAACAGGTCTTGGATTTTGGTGCGAAATTCACTCATTCATTTGGCTAAATAAAGTTTTGGCATTATAGCTGATGTTAGTTCATGATGAAAACCGTAAATCTAATTCCTTAACCTTAATCATCAACTATAAATCATAATTCTAATTCCTCACATTAGTTTATAACCCTCATTTGATCCTAGTTATCAGATGGGGACTGTCAAGGTCAGTTTAGCGTCGCTCAAAGGTCGTCCATAAATTATAGTCTCATCATAATATTTTTACAACAAGAGCGCAATAGATGAATTGAAGGTGTGAGGTTCGATAAATGTGATGTATCAAGCATTTTCGGTTGTTTTTCTGTCTAGCTATTAGTAAATAAATATTGTATAGGAATTTGATTTTCTTTGAGGATTTGAATTCAAGTATATGAAGTTGTCTTACTTTGTTTGCTGTGACGTTGTCAGTGTAGTGCTTAATAGGTCATACCGGATGAAGAACACAACTAAAATGAAAGCTTAATGTTGAAATGAAATTTCCAATGAAAATTACACACTCAGTAAATGGACAGTGCAGTGTTTCATACCACACTTTTGTTAAACATTGAAAGACAGATGGTTAACCTTACATCTTAAATGTCACGTTCAGGTCATAAATAGTTTTATATGTAACTTACGAGATCATATGGTATAATCTAGTTTATATAACATTGTGGACAGTTTATTTAGTGTGAGTTGTAATGTGTGTTATATTCTTATGCCCTGGTAATTATTACGTGACAAAATCGCCAGTCGTGACGCTGACTTATACGACAGTGACACTGTACCAAACCAATGACGCGTTAACCAGCACGAGCAGCCTAGGGTCAACTCTCCTTATTGGTTCTTCTCGCTAAGCCCTGCCCGTTTGAGTCCAGAACACAGTCCCGGTTTCCACTGTATGAATCATATTTTCAGACATATGTAGTTTATATACAAGCAAATCAGATCGCATTGTACCATAAATAATTATTAGCAGTTACCGTTCATTTATTTTATTAATATATAATAATGTGATACATGCATTACTATATTACTATCAAACTATTGATTGAAAACTCAACTTTATGACAATATGTATTGTATACTCAAATTCACCGAGTCTTCAACTAAGTTATTCCATAAATAATACAATTCGAAACTGATTGCATAAGTCTACACTCTCATATTGAGTTTGATCAAATTGTTCGCATAGATATTGACAAAAGCCTCAAATGTTTCAACTATTTAAAGCATTCATAAACTGTCTGCTTACATTAAAAAGAAAACTGCTAATCTACTTTATTAACTATGATCACTATAAAATATATTGATCAATGTGATAGTTTTTCGTTCCTAATCTTAAATCATTATTTAATTAATTTCAGTTCATATTCTCTAGTATATTGTAACATTTAACTAGATTAGTTTATAATCTTTAAAGGATCAAATGACCAACAAGGTTTAATGTCAACAGTTTATTCTGCCTATATTCACCGTAAATTATTATGTATAATGTTAAAAGATTGAAATAACTTTCTTTGACAAAAATAGTTAAGTTTTTCGAAACAGTATTCAACATTTTATGTTCTGATTGGACATTGAATTTCAATAGAATATAAGTAATTATTTAGTATCAAAAATCTGCCGACTGAAATCAAGGTATCAAATATAATGTATTCATTTTACAAATTAATAATACTTGATCGTTTCATGAAATTATTAAAGTAAATGGTGTTGTTAGTTGAGTTCTTCATTCATTCATAATTCAATTCTGATAGTTTCATAAGATTATTAAAATTTGTTTTGATATATGCCAAACCAAAACGTGGCATCAGTCCTTGAAGACACTAACTTCTAGTCTGAGCCATGTTAGTAGATGTAGACTACTTGGTTTGCGGTCCTCGTGACTATCGTAACCAATGACTGGTGACTGTTGATGACATGGCTCAGAATCGATCACAAGGGCGTAAATGTATAAACTCTTTGTCTTCCCTTAAACCTTGATATTAAAATCGCTTTATATCTTTCTTTCTATAAACTAATTCTTTCTTCCTGTACTATATCCTTATATGCAATCTTTCTTTTAAATATTACGACCATTGAAGTGACTATTTCTATGAATTTGTTGATCATCTTGTTATGCTGATACGGTATGGCAACTTGTACTGATGCATATATGTGCCTGGTACTACATTGTAGTTGACTGACTGAATATTTATTTGTACATGAGAAATTTCAGTTTGGAATCTTTTGTTTATTTACTAATTAGGTTTTGCTAAACATTATTAAACATTATCAAAGTGATTGTTTATTAAAAGTACCCTATAAAAATGTACCTGTTTTGTGACTTGTGATCATTAATCCATTTCATTCATCTTTCACACTAAATGTGATCGAGAGTAATTTTCATCTATTATGTAATAAGTGATGTTTATGTTTCTAAAAGAAGAAGAAGAAGTTGTTTATTACAACCTATTGGTTGAATAATTTACAATGATGGAATGATTTTGTTTTGAGAAATAGATAATGTTTCATTATTTATATTACTATTCAGTGTACATTATTTGTTTGTTGATATGATTGAGATTTTTATAACCCATGGATCTATTGATTAAGATAAATAATCTACAGAAAACGTCATCATCCAGTTTTTAGATCTGTGTGAATCAATTTCGGATTTCACACACACACACACACGAAACCTGATAAGTCTTGCGGATTGAACACTATATTCGTCTCCTAAGCTATTCTGTAACTCCCAGCGACCTGAACACGAGAGAGAAGACTCAAAGTATGCGAGAAGTAGTTTACTCCAAGGTTCATTTTAATACAGAAAATACAGAGTTTTTATAATATTTTAAATTTCCATGGGCCGCTAGAAGATCCTGGAATGCTACTAAACATAGTAACAGTGTAGCAGCTAACCAATCAGAGCCTCTGCATGTGACGTTTCGCTTCCTTGATATTTTTGGCCAAGACTCCAACTGAACGCTGATTGGATGAAACGCTTCTCAGTGTTTCCTGATGCTTGCTTGTCTTTTGCAAGCAATTTTCTGGATCGCCCCAACAAAACCACACTTGTTTGATTACTGAGTATGATTGAAGAGGGCTTACAAAATATCTAGTTATTGTTATACCAATAATATTGGTACTGAAGTTTCACAATACAGATTGATTTTGGTTAGTAAACTATCTAGAACATGCAAGTAATGTATGGTCATTTCATTCTAATACATGAGACTCAGCGTTGTGCATCAATGACTATAACAGAAATTGAACCCCGGGTTTGGAATATCTGTACATCGCTTCCTAGTTTCCAATGGTCATCTATATAATGTTAATCTGTAATGCGAAACTTCAAATTCAGCAGTTTCCGCAACACCGTGTAATAATGTTAATATCAGATTGTTATTTCGTTTAGGATGTATATAACTACCTAACATCTCAGTTTCTTTTTACTAGGGCTTTTTGGGAGATTGTAGAATTTACATTGTTTGGTGTACGGACTGATGTCATGTAGAGAACCACTGAAAACCAGAAGGCACTGAATAGCTGTTTTGTCTTAGTGCACAACTTCTCAACACTGGACATCCATAAACCTGATACAGGTAATCGAACTCAGACTACTTAGCCGAGACCCACCGGTGTATGTAGAATTCTAGTGAGGTGTGCCCATTAAAATCAATCATTTGAGTATAAAACAGTTATTAACCTCAGGTGATTGAAGATTGTCGCATAATATCCTGAATTTATTGATGTTGGATATGTATGCTGTTATACTTCAGCTGTGAATGCTGTTTTTGCGCACCATACAAAAGGTCCACAGTTTGAATTCTTTGGGCATAATCATGGATGTACATTGCTGAGGAGTCTCATATTAAAATGAAACAGATGTTTAATTCACCCCGGTTTTTCGATAGTTCTCTAACTTGGATCAATTCGTGATTCATACTATGAGTGTGTCTTTAGATGAAAAAAAGCTACAAATCGAGAATAGTAATAAGTTCATACTTCGTTGGATTTGATTTAATAATCTAAAATTTATACACTTTCTAAGAAACCTTCAAGTTTTGAGTTTGATTC